TCTAGATGCTCTTTTTTGACAGAGGCTTTGTTGACAGTATCTGTCAACAAAGCCTCTGTTGACAAAAGCCTGTAGTCTAGATGTGCCCAAAGAGACACACAAAGTAAAGCAGAATATCTGCACAAAGTAAAGCAGAATATTAGAGAGAGCGAGAGAGAGCGAGAGAAAGAAAGAGGGTACATCTACACTTGTCTTCTAGTTCGAACTAGGGAGGCAAATGAAGGCGACCGAAGTTGCTAATGAAGCATGGGATTTAACTATCCGGCACTTGATTAACTGAGTTGTGGCCAGTCGCCATTTTGGAAATTGACTAGCCCGATTTAAATTGCTGCATATAGAGGCAGTACTCCAAGAAAAACCCCTTAACTCGAATTAACTGGTACTCCTCCTACAAGGACTGGTACTTCTCACACCTAAGAGATTTAGATACTTATACAATGAGGGGTACCAGTTAATTCGAGTTAAGGGGTTTTTCTCAGAGTATCGCATCTATACGTGGCAAGTTAAATCGGGCTAGTCAATTTCCAAAATGGCGACCGGCCGCTACTATGCTAATCAAGCACGGGATATTTAAATCCCGCGCTTCATTAGCAACTTTGGTCACCTTCATTTGCTTCCCTAGTTTGAACTAGGGGGCAAGTGTAGATGTACCCAAAAAGATTTCAAATTTTTATACACAGTGTATTGTGTGAACATAAGCCAAGTTGTACTGTAATGGTAAGAGTGTGCTGTGGAGTAAGGAGTACATTTACAACTCTTATGCAAGAATGTACTAGTAGAATGAGTGCAACTTGTTCATTGATTTAATACAATAACAGTTTTTATATGTTATACATGAATGATTTCATTTCAGTCTCTTTCAAGTGAAGATAACCACTAGACACACAACCTTAAGCTCTGCTGGTCACTGTATTTAAACTGAAGAGTGACCATGCTCAGTTGGATGCTTTCTATTATGTCTTTCACTTTCTATCTTCTGTCTTCAAGTCTTGGGTTATCTAGAGTCTGAACACATTGCAGTCAGTTATTGATCAGCACCAATGCCTGGACATTTCATACAATATGGATAGTATGGCTGAAATTTTCCAGATCCACCTAAGAGATTTAGATAATCACTTTAATCAGATTCAGACATCCAAATCTCAATAGTGATTTTGAAAATCCTCCATTTCTTCTGGCTGATCTCCTCAGATTCAACATATTTACTGTTCAAAACAGCAACACAACAGTTTTTACCATTTTTTGCAAATGTAGTGCCATGTTAGAGATCTTACAATATTGGTTCAAAAAGGAAAGACATAAGAGAGCGCTAACCTTGAGTAAATGTAATGGGTAAAGCTGCAATTTACAATGTGCTGCAAAGAGCAAGGGAGCTTCTTAAATATTAAATCATCTCTAAATTTACCCTAATTTCTGAGTAGCGTCCATGATAGGTGTGGCTTAGCTTAACCATGGATACTTTTGTGTTATTTGTGAGGATATGCTCGTATCTTTCTTTAGTAAAGGGAATGCTCAGTGCAGAGGATAGCAGCCCAGGAATCTGTTGCTTTATTCAACTATATTGCAACAAAGGGGGTGAAGACAGACATTAACTAAACTGGAAATAAAGGAAGAGTGGCGCATGACTCCAACCCATAATACTTTGAGTATCCCAGTTAATCCTTTTATAACCACTTTACTGCTCTCCATCTTTACAGGACTGCAGTACACCATGAAGTCTACCACAGTCCAAGCTAAATCTCTCAAATTAAGTTACTGCAAATAAGTGCTGAAACTTTGCCAACTAACGACTAAATTCCCCCCCAAATAATCAGAAGTTACAGATATTGTTGACCTTATGGCAGGCCAGATAATTCAGCAGCAAGGTCAGCCTGACACATTTTTATTAGCTATGTTGATCCAGGCTGCACAGATCGAGATGGAAAACTCATACTAACAAGCTCTGCTTACTTCCAGAGCTGTATGAGTGGGAGGGAAGAGGGGAAGATTGGGATTGGCTCCTCAGGCTAGTTTTCAGGTTTCCTTTTGTTTTGGGGGATGCTGTCTGTCAGCAGCACATGAAATATTTCTTCCGTTCCATTTACTATGCCTCATGACAGTCTTATTTTTCTTCTTATCCTCTTTGTCTTTAAAGCTTCCTCACTATCTTATGTGTTTTATTGACATTAGCCAGAAAACAACACTACATCCCAACATTTGAGGACCCCCCACTTGCATTAGAACATCTGAGAAGGCTAACCTGAGAACCTCATTGATGCCTTTGTCAACAAAACTTATTTAAACAGGATGATCATGTGGGGTGCATTGAGGATTTCTTTACTGTAGATGCAGCAGAAGGCCTAATAAGTAGTTTACAAAACTGAGAAATATTTTTATTTTTCCTTTTCAGATAAGGCTTAATCAGTCCAACAGAAGAGCCTAGAAAATGTGACTGCAACTTGCAGCCACAAATGCTAATTATTATTGTATGGAAAGCTGAGAGCTCCGATCAGCTTAGTTCTGGTTTTTCTATTGTATCCGTCACTTCAGAAAGTATCAGAGTACCTTATAAGGTATTCACAACCAGAGAAAACAGTATTTTAAAGAGGTTTTATTTAATTTATTACCTGGGCTGTGTCTACATTGGCAAAATTTTGTGCAAAAGCAGGTGCTTGTGCGCAAAATCTTGACGCCTGTCTACACTGGCCACGAGTATTTGCGCAAGAACACTGATGTTGTAATGTACAAAATCAGTGCTTCTTGCACAAATACTCTGATGCTCCCGCTCAGGGATAAGCCCTCTTGCACAAGTATTCCCAGGTATATTTGAATGCCCTTAAAAATCACAGCTCATATAAGCATATTTTCTTGAAAATCTGAAGCTGTGGAGATTTAGAAATTGCCAAAATTAAAAAATGAAAGTGAATAAGAGAGCTTTTGATTTAAAACTGTATCTCTCAGTTAAATTCTCAACCAAATTTGAAGGCTAAGTTTTTGGGAAAATTTCAGTTAAGTTAAGTTTGAAAGTAATCCAGAATTCATATCTTTGTGACCAGCCTCTCTGAGAGATTGCATAATGTTTTAATTATACGGGATTTTGTTTTTATTTCTGAACAGTATAAATGTATTTTACATTCTCCCTTCTTCAGGCTCAGTGGCAAAGGAGTATTGAACATATAAATACATGCTACGGTATTATTCTGAGCCTGAGAGCAATAGTGCCATCTGGTGCACTATTTTTTAAAATCTTACTAAACATCTTAAATCTCATCAGAGTCTAGATTCTATATCAGATTTTGGAGTCTGGCATTGGAAAGTGACCCAGGAACCACAATATTTCAGGAGTGTTTAATAAATAGATCATTCTTCATATTTTAATAATCAAGAAGAAGAAAAATAAGACAGACATTGCTGGTTCATTTTTAGATACTATATATGGGTATGTCTACACTACCCCGCTAGTTCGAACTAGCGGGGTAGTGTAGACATACCCATATATAGTATCTAAAAATGAACCAGCAATGTCTGTCTTATTTTTCTTCTTCTTGATTATTAAAATATGAAGAATGATCTATTTATTAAACACTCCTGAAATATTGTGGTTCCTGGGTCACTTTCCAATGCCAGACTCCAAAATCTGATATAGAATCTAGACTCTGATGAGATTTAAGATGTTTAGTAAGATTTTAAAAAATAGTGCACCAGATGGCACTATTGCTCTCAGGCTCAGAATAATACCGTAGCATGTATTTATATGTTCAATACTCCTTTGCCACTGAGCCTGAAGAAGGGAGAATGTAAAATAGCTATACACTGCAGATCTTTGTAGTGGTCCCACTGTCCATCATTTTCTTTAATATAGCTCTACAATGGTTCTACAGTTATCTAATCCAAGACCTTTGAAGTCAATTGATATCTTATTGATTTCAAAGGGATCTGGATCAGGCCACTAGCTCTGCTGACAGATTTTTTTGACTATGTTGTAATAATACTTGGTCAGTCATTTTTGGGGGGTGGGGGGTGCACAAATTTTTCCTCTGTGATATTGTTTATAGCAGTACAGTACATGAAACAATGAATTCACACTACTGTGGCTCTTTTGAGTAATGTGGATTGCTAATTTCACTCTGAACCACTGAGATCTGAGTGTTTACTGCTGCAAATCTTACAGTGGTACTAAGCAACCATCTAGAGTGCATAGCTTGTAGGGGTAGTTTCACAGAGTGCAGCCTGAAGTGGTACTACAGAATAACACTATTTAATCTGAAACCCAAACTGCAGTATTACCTCATCATCTACAATGCAGTTCTAAGAGTGGTTTACTTATGTTACTTTTCACAACATTAAGGATCACATAATAGGGGATACTATAGTATCGTCTTCAGTACAGATCCTGTTGTGATACATGTATTATTGTAGTGTATTATCCAAGTTCCACTACCACGTTTTTCCTCACACGTAACAAATCTGTAATAATAGTAAGGAACAATGACTACCCTTTTACACAGAGATTACATTACCAGTCCCTTCATAGACTCTCAGGGCATGAAAATCAACTTGAAACAATACAGATTTTAACATTTGTATATTATGCTGAAAATGGGAAATATTCCAGGAGTCATTAAAATGGGATATGTATCACCCAGCTTAGTTACATTTACCATGCTGTCTGAGGTACTTAACACATATAGCCAAGATAAATGCTTGAGTGAAGTAAGGTTTTCTTTTAATGTCACCAAATTTATATTAATTATTAATATTATTTCAATACTAATATATCAAATCACTACTCTCAGATTACTATCTCTGAAAGGATATATCAGATTACTATCTCTAAAAGGATTTTCCTTTTAATTTATGTATTTTTTCAAGAAAGCATTTAAAATAGACATTCATATATTTAAATGAAAATGCTCTACAACATCAACTTTACACCAAAGCACAGTGAAAGTTGCCTGATTAGTCTAACTTTTAAGCTTATTGTCAAACAGCCTGCACTCATACTGAAATATCTAACTTACAATAAGTTGGTATTTTTTCTCTGAATCCACTGGTTTTCCAGCTTCCATGCAAGCCGTGAACCAAGAGATATCAAGGAGTTTGAACCTTGAGCTGTCCCTCATCTTGTGTCCTCTCAGCCATTCCAGAACTTCAGCATAAGAATTGTTCTCTGCCACAATGTGAGTGACAGAATCACTATAAAGAGGAAAAATTAAGATGAAGTTTTATTTTTTTGAATCCAATTCTAGATAGCTACAGTGCTGCTATTTCAGTCTTGATATACACTCCCTGAAAATTGTCATATGTATCATATGTCAGGAAGCAGGAAATGTGTCATGTTTTCATATCACAATATATGTTTTCCATTCAATGAACCTAGCTTAAGAAAAAATTAGCATGGCATCTTTTATAAATGCAGCACTTTGGTCCTTTCAGCATCATTTTCCTTCTTACATTTATTTTTTGCCACTTGAAAGATATTACACAACCAATGTTATAATGAAGAGCTGTTTTATGTTACCTGCCAGCCCTGGGAAAAATAAAATTCCAGGTTAAAGAATGAGAACTTTGTAATAACATCCTCTTAAAGTTCCACAGTTGCTAATATTTTTTTATAAAATTATATCTTCTGTACCTAAATAAGGTACTTAAAGGACATTAGCAATTGTGTATATGACAGCAATCTTATGAATTATCAATCTTGTCAGAAGGCCACTTCCTGGTTGTTAATATATTATAGGTTGAAAGTCTCTAGTCCAGCATAATCTGTGGTCTGGCATGATTTTAATTAGCCTAATATCCACTTATCACGGATATGGCCAAGTTTCCCACAGTCTCATAAGTTTGTTTACAGCCACCAGTCCTGGCTCTCAGTGTTCTGTGCTGTTATTTAGCTCTAATTTAAAATCTAATTGTTTTCTAAGAGCCCAGTTGGCAGAGGAAGTGTTGGTAATGCTGCTAGACACTATTGACCTCCTGTGGTTCTGAAAACTCTCTGGTTTGGCACCTGTCAGGTCCCAAGAGTGCCAGACAAGAGAGGTTCAAGCTGTAGTTTCTTAAACCTATCTAGGTTTAGTTTATCTTAAAACTGACAGCTTAATGTAAGAGAGACAAGGTGAGTGAGGTAATATCTTTTATTAGACCAACTTCTGTTGGTGAGAGAGATAAGTTAACCTGTGTAGCTTGAAAGCTTTTCTGAACCAAACAGAAGTTCGTTCAATATACTATATTACCTCACCTTATCTTGTCTCTAATATCCTGGCACTGACATGGCTACAACTGCTCTGCAGATTGTACAATATATCACTAATATACCATATGATAGTTATTTTTAGATTGTCATAGAAATGTGGGACCAGAAAAGACAATACAATAACATTTTACTTTCCGTACCTGAAATATGTGATAAAGAATTATTAGACATTGTATGAAGAATGACTATACACCTCAGCTTCTAGAGATTTTATGTTCTATTCAGCCATTCTATCCTTACACAGAAGCAAAATGCAGGACAATGTAGCACTTTAAAGACTAACAAGATGGTTTATTAGATGATGAGCTTTCGTGGGCCAGACCCACTTTGAGAATCTGCAATGTGATTTGTCCTTTTCATATTTGTTCATTTTTTTAATTGTATCCTTTGGTATATATGGTTGTGACTACTTTCTTCCACTATTTGATCTGAGGAAGTGGGTCTGGCCCACGAAAGCTCATCATCTAATAAACCATCTTGTTAGTCTTTAAAGTGCTACATTGTCCTGCATTTTGCTTCAGCTACCCCAGACTAACACGGCTATATCTCTATCACTATCCTTACACAGTTATGTTTTTACTGCATGTAAGGCAACAAAAAGACAAAAAATCTTATACAGTGAAACCTTTGTTATCCTGTACTCTGTTAACTGGCATTGGCCACAAGCACAATACTGTCACATCTTCAGGTGCACAGGCCTGGCTTGGTTTACCATGATTGGCTTAATTTTTTATTTAAGAAGTACTAATCATCTTCAACTCAAAATAGAAATGTGAGACCCACTGCATCACATTACAAAACTACCAATATTAAAAGCCTGAGTTTTACTATTATTGTCCATTGTTTTTTCCTAGGTTGATGGGGACATTCAGATAACCTGAATTTTTAGATAACCGGAACGTCCTAATCCCCAAGCATGCCAGATAACACTGTAATTAACTTTTAAAAACATAACAGTGCTTAGTCAACTGTAGTTCTGTCTATGGTTCTGAGCATGAAGGAGATGCCAATTTTTTCATCACATAAGGAACTATCATAAGTTCCCATCAAAATATAATGCATAGATGTTAACAGAGTACTCAATTGTCTCTTCTGTTCCCGTGAGTGGAGGTGAGCCAGCTAAGTGGCTATTCCCTACAGCATGTGGAAATTTGGCATTTTCTCTCTTTCCACAGCTCAGGAGAATATTTCTTCACCAGAACATGGCACTGAGTCTTTGTCTACACAGCAACGTTATTTTGGAATAACTGACATTATTCTGAAATAACATAGTCTATGTCTACACACAAGCAGTTATTTTGACAATGTCAAAATAATGTTGAGCTGGAGAACTGCTTACTCCAACTCTTGTAACCCTCATTGTATGAGACATAAGGGAAGTTGGGGAAAGAACGCTCCTTCTTGAAGTAACTGCTGCATAGACAGAGCCGAAAGTCAAAATAAGCTGGGCAATTAGCATAGCTCAAATTGGTTGCTTATTTCGAGTTTAGCCCTGCTGTGTAGATGTGCCCTGACAGAGCTCTACAGAGTAAAAATCAAGGTCCAGGAGTCAGTGCAATGCCATATATGTATATATGCAATACATGTATTGTATGCCCCAGAATTCACAACGAAATGTTTTATGCTAGAAGCATACAAAAGCCCTGCATGTAATCAATCTGTTCACGTTTGGCTGTCTTTTTGTTGTGCTAGCAGGGCACGCAGTACTTTAAGTTGCATCATGTTGCCTAGGCAATATGAATCTTCAGGCAGCTGATTTCCTGGCTGGCTGCACATCAGAAAAAAGTAGCTAAGGCATGCAAGTGTACAGCTGAATCATTCATGATACAACAGAGCTAGCGGTACAAACTTTTCTTGCTAGTTTGCTTGAGAAAACTTCAGATATTGCCAGAAAGTCCCAGCTTTTGATTGTGCTGTATTATGTGACCAAGAATGGTAGTGAAATAGAATGCTTGGCTGCTTTTCCTGATATTAGTAACAATCAACCTGTTAAGCAGAGCAGAGAAGGTCTGATTGAATTCTTCAAATATGTGGTGCAAAAAATCTACCAGACTGCCATGCTCAGTCTTCTTCCTCAGCCAGGGTTTTCTGACCATGCTCCATGATTTTCACTTTGTTTCTGTTTTGTTTTTACAATGATGTATTTGAATTAACAGAAGTGAAATTTGATATTCTTCAAATCAAGATGTAAGATAATAGATTTTGTGTTAAGGAGATTTGTAAGACAGAGCTAAGTCATTAAAGGCAACATACGTTTGCCAAGTTTTAGAGGTGTCGGCACTAGTTGCACATGAACCTCAGGAAAAAAGAGCAAGAGAAAGCCAAGTGACATATAAGTGTCCCTTATTCAAGGATATTGGCAGTTATTGGTACAATTTTAAAAAGTATAGAGAAAAATTAAATTAGTTCAGTTGCTGAATCCAACAAGATTCATGGGAAGTTCAAAACACACTTTCCAACTGATGCTTTTGAAACTCAGGAAACATCTTATCTAAACTTTTTTTACTATAATCATTTGAATTCCAAACTGCTACATATAACTCAAAACAATTGCAAGGAGAAGGTGCATTTAACTTATATAGAACTATTTATATGCTGGATTTACATATTTGCTTCTCTGAGGTCAGCAAATTGCCTTAATTCTGAATGCTCCCTACTTTAAAGCTATGTTGGAAAGGTTTTTTTCCAACTTTAGAAGAGCATTAAGACTTTTATAAGTAAAACACCCAGATGGCAAATGCTTGTACAGCTTGTTATTCCTGACCTTTGAAAAGAAACTATTTATATATCTTCACAGCTTATCAAATTCTTACAACTTGATTAGTTGCTTACAAAAAATAAGAATGGATTTTCAATGTCTATATTCTCAGCTTTCATTATATTTGACTATTAGTATTTGCCAAAACAAATATATTTGGTTTATTAATTGCTTTGTATTTTAGATGAAAAACTTTTTATCTGGATGAGGCAATGTCTTTTATTGGACCCACTTTCTTGATGAACAAGGTAAGCTTTCAAGTTACACAGGGCTCTTCTTCAGTTCTGGGAAACATACTGGCTATGTCTACACTGGCATGATTTTCCGGAAAAGCGTCCATGGCCAATCTAGACGCGCTTTTCCACAAAAAAGCCCCAATCGTCATTTTCGCGATCGGGGCTTTTTTGCGGAAAACACTACTGTGCTGTCTACACTGGCCCTTTTCCGGAACAGTTTTCCGGAAAAAGACTTTTGCCCGAACGGGAACAGAATAGTTTTTCCGGAAAAGCACTGATGATTTTACATTAGATCGTCAGAGCTTTTCCGGAAATTCAAGCGGCCAGTGTAGACAGCTGGCAAGTTTTTTCCGGAAAAGCGGCTGATTTTCCGGAATAACTTGCCAGTGTAGACACAGCCACTCAGTGTCACAACCAAATATAAGATTGAAAAGATAATTTAGCATAAATAGCTAGTACATAATATATTCAATCAAGGTTGTACAAATTGTTAAGTAGATCACAGAAGCTCTGAATAAACTTGTTAAAATGTGATGCAAAATCTAGCAGATGGGCCACTCAGTCATTCTCATCAACAAATGGTTTTCTGACAATATGCACCACTATATTTGCACACTATCATAATCATCTTAGTACAAAGCATTCCTTCTAATATATCATTTGAAAATTTATAAATTTGTTTCCCTTCAGCAGAAAGAGAGCTCAAACAAGTGAAGAAATGCCAACAAAGAACATCCTTCCACACAGACTCTTTTACTCTTGGTTCTCTGTTGGAAATGTTTTTCCAAGGGGGATCCAGAACTATAAAAAGCAGAGGCAAACACCCATGATACCTGTCTCTTGCCCTCTGCCCATCTCATTTTTGTACCCGAGAAGGCAAAGGGAAACAGGTGTTGAACCCTGGAGCAGGGATCCCAATCTGAGAGTTTGCTCAGTATTTTGTTGGAGC